GCAGCCAAAGCAGAGGAGGAGCTGGGGATTAGATATAGTCCTTAAGAGTATATTACCAAGGATTCACTCCCTTCAATAGGTCCCACCATCTACAGTTTCCACCACCTCCCAGTAGTCCATTCAGCTATGAATCCATCAATGGATAACACATTGATGATGTCAAAACCCTCATAATCCAATCACTTCCCCAAAACCCCATCTCTGAACATTACTGCACTAGGGACAAAGCCTTCAATGTGGGAACCTTTGGGGATGTTCCAGATCCAAATTATGACACCAGTTAAGAATATTTTTTTAAATTAATATAGAAGTTACTTCATTGTAGATTATTATATTAGGCTAGAAAAGAATTTTAGATAATTTAGAACATTTGAGAATATCTGAAAAATTGATTTGCTCTAAATTGTTTTGAAATAGTTTATCTTAAAAAATCACTGTTAAAAAATTATTCACAGGGTGTGGTGAGTATATGATATGTAGGGCTGCAAAGTACCAGGTGGTGATATTCTAACAGTTTAAGCCAAGACAAAGGGACAAAGTAAATTTAGAGTGAAATAGGAGGAAGAATGAAAAGTTTATGAGAATCCCATAAATTTTCTGGCCCAAAAGTCATTCACCACTGAGCAGAAGACACTGAAGATATACAGACTGAGGACAAGTAGAAGATGATGAGTCTTTTCAAAAGAGCAGCTAAGTCACCTTCTCTTTGGTTTTTGTGGGGGGTATGAAACCTTCACAAGTGATTTTCTCACAACCTTATCTTCACAATAAAGATGTCTCAGAAAATAATAACATAAATCCAGATATTTTTGTTATTGCTTATCACCTTTTTGCACTGTAAATTCTTTTTTTTCATGTAGGAATTAATAAGGAAAATGGATTTGAGGTTCAATATGTGTCTAAATACGATTTATGTAGCATACTTTGTTTTCTGAAAGGCATTTATTTTCTACAGTAGAAAATGACATATATTTGACAATACCCTCAATGAATATTCATTGTAATTTTTTAATATATTAACCATTTTCTAAAATGTGTTTGCTTTAAAACTTGTTTAAGACTCATCATAAATGATGTTCTGTATTATATGCCATACCTTCTATACCAAAACATTGTTTTAGATCATCACAGTGCAGATACATCATTGATCTGTAACAAAGCCATGTGTCACGCATTCTGAAAAACAAATCTTTTTTAATTGATATCTTTTTAAAATAAATAAAATGTTTATACATACATTTAAAAAGCATAAAATTATATCAAATCATTCCAAAGTGAGTAAGTGTATTTGTGTTAAAACCAACTGAGAAGCTTATATAATATTTTTTAAAGTGCTACACAAAATACATGTAAATACAGTATTCAATATATTTGGGGAAATGACTTTGAAATACAATAACGAGGTCTCTAGGTAGCTTCAGGATCAGGGCTGGTCACAATGCAATTGGTAGACTAGAACTTTCAGCTCCCTGATTGGAGATTTGAGTTCAGTCTTTTGGTCAATGAGTTAGTTAATCATACCTATGTAATGAAGATATTAAAAACAAACACATGAAAAGAAAAACACCTTGGGGGTCCAGGGGTCTAGCTCAGTGGTAGCTTAGTAGCACTGGAGCTCTGGGCTTAATCCCTAGCACATACACACAAAATCCCAAAACAAAAACCACTTTGGGATTGAGGCTGAGCAGGGCCTCTTAATTGGTGAACACATTGATAGGCAGGGAAGATGATGAGGAGAGCTTCCATGAGGAAAGGCACAGAAGCTTTAAATCATCTTTCACCCTGCTCCCCTGCCCCCACTCCTGGCCTTTTCCCTATGCATTTCTCACATTTGGTATTTCCAAATTGCATCCTCTATAATACAACTGAAACTGTAACATAATGTTTTAATGAATTGTGTGTGTTATTCTAGGAAATTATCAAACCTGAAGAGTTGTGGGAACCTCAAAATTTGTAGCCAAATTGGACAGAAGTGCTGGTAGCCTGAAGACCCCATTTGAAGTAAGGACAGTCTTGGAGAACCTGTCCCCAACCTAAGTTTCCTTAAACCCCAGGTAGTTAGTGTCAGAATTGAATTGAATTGTAGAACACCCAGCTGGCACCTGAGAATTGTGGTTAGTACACATTTGGTGTCAGAAAATGTGGAATTTTCTAGAATGACCAACTCAGAAAATGGGTTACAAAGGAAAAGATTGAATGGATGGTTACTGTATTACTTCATTTTCTGTTGCTAATAACACCATATCACAGTTTTAGAAAAAAAGAGGTTTATACTAGTATGGCAGTATGTAAAAAAGTGGATGTGTAACCGATGTGATTCTGCAATCTGTATACGGGGTAAAAATGGGAGTTCATAATCCACTTGAATCAAATGTATGAAATATGATATGTCAAGAACTTTGTAATGTTTTGAACAACTAATAATAAAAAAAGAAAGAAAAGGTTTAGTTCATAGTTCTGGAGGCTCAAGGGCATACAGCATCACATGGCAAGAAAGGGGGAGCACACCTGTGCTTTTATGTGATTTCTCTCAAAAAGCCACTAGGATTCTATCATGGAGACTCCAGTCTTATAACTTTATATAATCTTGATCCTTTACTAAAGGTCTCACCTCTGAACACCATAGTCAGGTTAAATTTCCACCCTCTAAATACCTTATAATTGGAATTAAATTTCAACATATGAAATCTGGGGGACCCTCAAGGCATGTCCAAACTGTAGCAGTTAACTAGTCACCAGGATATGAAATTGTAACCATGTTATAACCAGTTAAGAAAGGTGAAATTAAAAACTAGTGGAGGAAGTAGCACATTTGGATTCCTAAAGGAATACAAAATAATAAGAAATATACTAAACACATAATATCTTGTCTGTTGTTATACATAATAGCTAAAATAAAAGTAAAAGAGAATAATAAGGTAAATCTTGATTCTGAACCAAGCTCAGATTTTGGAAGCATGGGCCATAGTCACTAGCCTCAAAATATCCCTAAAGGGAACTTGTATGGAATCAGCAGAAAGTACCTCTAAGGCTTCTGGTCACCAAGAAGGTACTCCACATAGGAAGAGGGCAAAACCAAAAAACTACTAATATCAGTAGGGATTGTGTAAGGGAGTCATCTTACACTGTGGGTCATTATCAGCTTCCAGAAGAATCTTACTTTTAAAATGACCATGTGAATGTCTAATTTAGGGGCAGTGTCTTTGGTTTCAAATGTTGTAATATGAAGGAACATGAAGGGCATCCCATGTAATATGTTCACATAAACACATAGTTCACTGTGGAACAAACACAGGTGGTTATACATGATCCAGCCACATATGGCAGGTTATTCCAGAAGAAGCAGTCAGCCTGATGGACTGGATTAAAAAAAAACACTGTAAAAATTGTTTCCCCTGAGAAGTGGTACTTTCCAATTCCCACCCCAAATGCCAAGTGGAATACTCCAGAAGAAGCAGCTAATACACTTTGTATGTAAACCACGTGGGACTGGTTTTATGATAATCAGAATACTAAATAGGCCTGTTATCCAGGTCATGTTAAATTTTGTGATTATCAGGCATCCCATGTAACCTTACTCCTACAGAATTCAACAACAATTTGAAAGCTTTATTGGATCTGCTATTTTGGCTTTCTTGTGTGGAACCAAGAACATGGAAGTAATTAGCAAAAACATGAGGAGAGACAAACAGAAGAATCAAGGGACTGATCTTAACAGGGTAGAAACCTTTAGATGGTTATTAAGAAATGGAATGGATAAAGACAGACATTGAGGGGCTGGGGCTGTAGCTCAGCGGTGGAGCACTCACCTGGCATGTGCAAGGTGCTGGATTTGATCGTCAGCACCATATAAAAATAAATAAATAAAAATAAAGGTATTGTATCCAACTACAATTAAAAAAAATTTTTAAAAAGACACAAGACATTGATGGGATCAAAAGGAAGGTCTTAATACAGCATTACAGAAGGTTAGGTGGACCAATGAGACCCTTGGCTGGTCCCCCATCATTAAAAAACTTTCAAAAATCTGGGTAGTTTTTTAAAATCCCAATTTAGAGGAATTTTTAATATCCAGCACAGATTGCAATGAGAAACCCATCATAGAACTGTCTGAGGCACTAGTCAGATTAAGCAAAGCGTATGTTGACAAAATGCCTCATTTCCCTTGACTCAACCTTTTGCTGAGGGCTGAAAGCTCCAGTTAAACTGTCAGAAATTGAAGAGAAACTTCTGGGACACCTTGACATGTAGCCCTATTTACTGTGGTGCCAAAATCTGCTGAAGACCTAATGGGAGCCACATTAGATTCAGAGGAAACAGAAATGCAAGATTTGATGAGATGAAGGTAGAAGTTTATGTGAAGTATTTATGGCTCTTACCTGAGTATGGGGATGAATCCTGTCTGACTGGGGAACATTTCCCTTACCTATAATAGTAAAAATATGACATGTAAACCTGTCCTTTAAGCCAAAGGAAATAAAGAAGGTCCCTAAACCCACACAGTGTAGATTAAAAGCTGGAATCCACAAATTCATTGGACAAATTCTCAGTACAATAGTCCTGTATGCTTCAGAGACTGGGACTTATGCAAAAGCATGTGAATCTCTCCCAGCAACAATTCCTGAGAGTAGTACAGAATTTCCATTTGAGAGGAAAATATTAAAATTAAAGTTTTAAACCACCTCTATGACTGCAGGACATAAAATAATCTTAAAACCTGAAATATCTATGTTGTCTGGATTAGTATTAGAGAAACATTAATGAGGAGAGCAATAATAAGAACAGTTCCATAATAAAATGGAATGGTTTGTACGGAATATGGACTGGGGGAATGCAACATATTCATGAGCAGGTAACCTATCTCTTAGTACTGACTTTGAAACTACCCAAGCTGCTACCTGTTTCTATGATCTTTTGGATAGTGTCCTATAAATATTTTTAACTGAACTAATAAATAGCTTCATGGTTAATTAATGGTGGTTCCAATGTGAATGCATCACTTTTTTTTTTTTTTTTTTGGTTGGGGGGAAGGTCAGGCTCTGATCAAAGAAGTGAAAAGCCAATCACCTTTGTGGGATGCATTGCATGCCATTTATTCCTGTTTGTGTTTTTACCACATAGTCAGGCAAAAGGAGACTGTGCCTATTAAAGGGATGTCTTTATTGGGCACAGCTCTGTGGAAATCGCAATGGGAATTTCAGGGTGCATTAAAGTGGAACATGTCAAAGCCCATCAAAAGTGCTTCCAGTATAGGAAGGTGATTGGAATCCAAAAGTAGATGACCCAGTGTGTTCCTTGACATAGCCACCTAGGTTAATAAAATGAATTGATGCAGGGCTCTGAGGTAATGCAGAAATAGACTGAATATAGACATGTTCTTCTTGTATCTGCTGAGGAACAAAATGTGCACTAAAACTATTCTTTTTGTCAGAGAGACAGAAACTACAGATAGATGGCTCTGGCACATATTCTCCAGGGGGAAAACCCTATCCCTAACTGATAAGCTGGACTGATGCCAGTAGACCTGGGAGAAGCTACATATGAATCCTGGCAGAAACAGGTACTCTGGAGTGGTTTTGCTTATTTGGGGATAGATGCTAATGTTCAGAGTGTTATTAAAAACCAGAAGAGAAGATATTGCACCAATTCAACCACCAAGGCATATTTCTTCAAACCAAGGAAGACCGATATCTAACAATGACAGAGAGATGTCCTTCTCAGAGTAATAGTTCAAAGGAGAATCAGAACATGCAATTGGGGTAGGGTGTAGCTCAGGGGTAGAGTGCTTGCCTAGCATGTGTGATGAACTGGGTTGGATCCATAGCACTACATATAATAAACAAATAAATGTATTGTGTCCATCAACAACTAAAAAGATTTTTTAAAAAAGAACATGTAACTGAATCTTTAAATAGGGGGAGATACGGGCATGAAGGGTTGGCTTACATGTTTTCAGGAATATGTGCTTACAGACTGTCTGCGTTAGATTCTTGTGCTTTTCTGGTGGATCTGGGGAAGAGAGACTGGGGAAGGATACTGGCATAATTATACAATTCTAAAAATGGAGAGGATGTTGCTTTGATTATACTTTTTCCTTTCTTGCTCACATTTCTTCCATTTTCTTTTTCCTACTTGATGCAGTGACCTAGGACCATGGTGACAGCTACAAGTAATGGAAGCAGGGATGATTCCTAAGCAAAAAACTGAAATACTACTTTAAATCTCTATGTCAGAATTCCTAAGTGCCTGATGGAGATGAGTTGTGCCTTCATCCATGTCAGTCATTTTCTGCTGCTATAATGAAATGCTATAGATTGGATAATTTATAAAGAAAAGAAATTTATTTCTCATAGTCCTGGAAGCTGAGAAGCATGAAGGTGCCAGCATCCGGGGAAGGACTTCTTACTGTGTCATAACATGATGGAGGGCATTACATTGCAAGAAAGCATGTGAGAAGGTAAGAAACACGAGAATACACACTTAAGAGAGCTTGCTTTATAGCTAACTTACTCCTTTGATAAAAAAAATTTATTTATTCATGAGGGCAGAGTCCTCATGACCTAAATACTTTATAAATGTCCCACCTGATACTTTCACAGTAGCAATTAAATTTCAACCTAAGTTTTGGAGGGGACATTCAAACCAGAGCACCCTATTTGGCAAAACTGAAGCTAACCATGAATATAGTTATATTGATAACTGGTAGAAACAGCCCATTAATTTTGTACTTATGTAATTACCCTCTACATGGAATAGATTGAAGGAGAAGAACTTGCTAGATTACTATTATTGCCTAGAATCTGGAGCGGCACAATGGCCAAATATACTTGTCCCTTCCAAAGGTTGAAAGTTTGAGTATAAATTTTAGAAAAGTAGAAATAGTAGCTAAAGGTGAAGGAATGAATAAATGAATTAAATAGAGAATTCCAGTACTACATTAATGCTTCAAAAGAGGATCAGAGGAAGAGATGACATTAACTCTTAGCTCAATTATACCAGATGCCTGAATGGTGACATCTTGTGTTGCTGAGACCATTTTTTCATTTAGAATCTGACATGATCAAATGGAAGCCTGCAAATCATAGTGATTTTATACTGGGAGATATGTTGATCATTCAAAATGATGGACTGGACTAATTATTAGGGACTAGATGGAACTCTAGTAATGTACCAGTATTTAAAAACTTATTTCTCAGGTTACACCTACCATAATGTCTACTACCACTGGCCTTGTTGGTAAGATTATAATGCTGATAGTGTTAAGTATGTTGGAAAACTACAAATGTTGCTATATCTGTTAGGCTCAGTCAGGAATGATCTTTTCGCTATAAAACGAATATAGTACAATTATAATATGCCAATAAAAAGGGAAAAAAACTAAATCCCAATACATTTTCTGAAAACAACAACAACAACAAAAAACTCCTATAGTCAAAGACCAGGGGAGGCCTATGGTATACAAAGAATGTATCTGGGGCTGGAGATATAGCTCAGTTGATAGAGTGTTTGCCTCACATGTACAAGGCTCTGGGTTCAATACCCAGCATCACCAAAAAATAAAAATATATATCTGGTCTTTTATGGGGTGAGAAAAGAGGGTTCCTAACACAGATAATTCAAAATAATCCATGAAATTCCTTGAGTGATAAGAGTATTTGTTATGCTAATGAAATGACTTTTGGGGAGGGGACCTAGATAGTAGCCATAAGGAGGCTGGTTGCCAAAAATAAATAAATCAAAAGGTTGGAATTTTAGTTACTATATCTCCAATCAGAGGAGGGAGCCTGGATATTGAATTCAGTTGCATAGCCAATGCATATGTAATGAAACCCTAATTAAAAAAAAAAAAAAAGCTCTCAGGACAGGAAGGCTGGGTTAAAGGGCTTCCTGGTTGGTAAACACATTTATGAGCTGGAAATATGCTGCACCTAGATTCAATAGGGAGAGAATATGGAAGTTCTGTGTCCCTTCCTCTTCCCTTCCACCCTACCTCAAAAAGCCCCCTCAGAACTTGCATTTATTCTATGTAGCTTTTCATGAGTTGTATCCTTTCAAATAAAACTGTTAAGTAAAGACTTTGCGTGAGTTCTGTGAATCATTCTAAAAAATTATCAAATGTGAAGAGGGGTTATAGGAACCCCTAAATGTGCAGCCAACTCAGACACAAGTTCAGGTAACCTAGGGACTTCAGAGAAGGCCAGGGACTCTACTTACAGATGGTGTCTGAAGAAAGGGCAATCTTGTTGGGGACCTTGACATTTAACTTGTGGGATCTAATGCCAACTCTAAGTAGTCAGTGTCAGAATGGAATTGAATTATAGGATATCAGAAAATTTTTGTTAAACACAAAACCTGTCATTAGTATTTTTTACTTCTTTTAATTGTGGTAAAATATACATAACATAAAATTTATCCTTTAAACTATTTTATTTTTAAGCTTTTCATTGAAATATAACAATATAGAAAGCATATATAAACTTTTCAGGACAACTTACAAATAAACTGATTAGTCAGATTTCACAAACTGAATACATCCTTATATGCAGCATCTGCATCAAGAATAGCATATTCCAACATTTCAGAAAAGAAATGTGTTGAAAAGTAAAGAACATTTTTATAAAAGAAAAAAACTAAAGAGTAATTAAAATGGAGGTAAAAGAGTTAATCCCTTTCCAATGTATATGCACATACCCACTCTATAATGTACTGTTGCCAATGGGAGGCTTTCTAAAGGATCTTTGTATTATTGTTAAAAAATTTTTGTGGTAATAATAATTTTGGGACACACTGAGTTAAAGCTAGTCAAATAGGTTTATTATCTAAGGAGATTTTCACAAATCTTTCAGATTCCCAGGGCCTATAGCCAGAACATTCTCAAGTCAGGAGAGGAATAAGGGAAATACCTCTTGCTTATTCTATATATGTTTTTTAAATTATGTTAAAATTACATAATAAGATTTAGCATTTTAATCATTTTAAGACTATAATTCAGAGGCATTAATATTTATGATGTTGTGAGGCCACAACCACTATCTGTATTTCCAGAATTTGTTTATCCTAAACATAAACTTTATGTCCTTTAAATGATAAACTCCTCCGCCTCCCTCTGATCACTGATAATCACTATTTTCCTTTCTGTCTCTATGAATTTGCTTATTCTCATATAAGTAGTATCACAGACTATTACACCTTTGTGTCTGGTTTATTTCATTTTGCATAATTTTTCCATCTTGTAGCATGTAATAGAATTTAATTTCATGGTAACAGTAAATAATATTTTATTGTATGTGCATACCACACTGGTTTATCACTCATCTGTTGATGGATATTTGAGTTGTTTTCACCCATTACTATTCAAATAATGCTGCTTTGAACTTCAGTATTCAAGTGTCTACACTGTTACACATTTTCAAAAATCCATCATTATCAATTTTTTTAAATAAATTTTGGAGGTGTTTTACAATGTGGAGGTCAAATAAATTAATGATAGCATACATTTTAAAGAATTCAATGTTCTATTATCAGCATTAAAATTGTTGATACTGAAGATTCAGGGATAAAGTAATAAAGAAAAAACTGGAATGTAATCAACAGGTATAGAGACGTATAAAGAAATGGCTAATTAGAAAAATATAAAAGATGGCATTACATCAATTATTCTTCGCTTAACCTTACTGAATTGAATGTACTTTTACTAATATGCAGAAAGTGCTCATTATTATTTAAAGATGATGCATTTTTCTTTAGCAACCAAAACATGCTTATCTTTGTCTAGTCAAAATTAATTTCAAAAGATAACATTTTTAAAGGTTAGCATGTCACTTAGTGCTTTAGCCCCATGTTCTTGCTGGACAGGCTGCTTGATGATCGCTCTCGTTCCTTAGTAATTTCCATCTCAATTTTGGCTTTGATTTTCTCCCAATCTATTTGAAGCTACAATAAAAGGAAAGAAAACACATGCTTATTTAGTATGAGATATTTTTTAAAATCCAAAGGAACCAAGAATAAATATGCTCAAAAAACATGAAGTATCTTGAAGAATAAGACCAAACAGAACAATTATATAACAAAAAGCAGACTCACAATGATCTAAAAGGCCAAAATCTAATTATACCTTTCTATATTGAAAAAGTCCCAGAGACTGCCCACTCCAGCCTGTGTGGGACCCAGGCTCATAGAAGGCCCCTGCTTCACCCCTCCACCCATGGGGCAGACACCCACAGGAGCTCAGCTTCTGGCATTGGACCGCCTCTTCCAACCAGAAGACTACTGTGGGAGCCCAGGCTCCACCCAGATCCATCCACACTGACTTGTGTAGGACCCAGGTAAGTCTGAGTTCGCACTCGGCCCACCGCGCTGCCACCTGGAAGCCTAAGCCTAACACACTTCCATCTTGGGACACTGTATTCATCGCCATAGCCTTCCCCATGCACTAGCTCCTGACAGTAGACAGGGACTAGGAGCAGCTGCATCTCAGAGTAGGCATGCCAAAGGGAGTGTGAGGCCCACCCTTTCAGCCCCATCTCTGTAAGACATTGCTTCCAACTTGGGGCACCTTAACTATTATCTCGAGTTACCTCGGCTATTGCCACCACCACCTTTAGATGCAGTAGCATACATTGAGGGATACTAGCAGGGTCTAGAAGCCCAACATCAAGGTGAGGTACAGACAATCTGCATGAGTACTATAAGAATATAGGGAAGAAACTGTAATATCTCAGATCCACACTGCAAGAAAGGAAGACCCATAGACAACATGAAAAAACAAGGGAGGAAAGTGCCCCAAACAAACCAGGATAGTATAGTAATAGAACCCATGGACAGCGAAGTTATTAAAATGTCAGAGAAAGAGTTCAGAAAGTTCATAATTAAAATGATCTGTGAATTAAAGAATAATCTAAATGAGGAAATACAGGCAAAAAATGATCAGTCCAACAAAGAGATAAGAGAGCAAATACAGGTAGCAAAAGATTATTGAGAGAAAGAGAGATTCTGAAAAAAAACACAGAAATCCTTGAAATGAAGGATACAATAAATCAAATAAAAAACACAATAGAGAGCATAACCAACAGACTAGATCACTTGGAAGAAAGGACATCAGAAAATGAAGACAAAGTGTACAATCTGGAAAATAAAGTTGATAAGAAACCATGAACAGAACATCCAAGAATTATGTGACAGCATCAAAAGACCAAATCTGAGTTATTAGGATAGCGGAAGGCACAAAGTTTCAAAGCAAAGGAATGCACAATCTCTTCAGTGAGATAATATCAGAAAATTTCCCAAGCATAAATAATGAATTGGAAAATCCAATACAAGAGGCTTACAGGACACCAAATGTACAAAATTACAAAGATCTACACCAAGACACATTATAATGAAAATGCCTAAGGATAGAATCTTAAAAGCCACAAGAGAGAGGAATCAGATCACATATAAGGGGAGATCAATTCGTATCTCAGCAGATTTTTCAACCCAGACCCTCAAAGCCAGGAGATTGTGGAACAACATATACCAAACTCTGAAAGAAAATGGATGCCAACCAAGAATCATATCCAGCAAAACTAAGCTTAGATTTGATGATGAAATAAAAGCCTTCCATGATAAACAAAAGTTACATCCTCAGCAAAATATTCCAAGAAGAGGAAATGGAAAAACAAAATGATGAAAATCAACAAAGGGAGGTATTACACTAAAGGAAAATCTAATCAGAGGAGAAACCAAGTCATGTTATATACCAAAAATAAACAAAAATGTCTGGAAATACAAATCATGTCTCAATAATAACCCTGAATGTTATTACTGGCCTAAATTCACCAAACAAAAGACATAGACTAACAGATTGGATTTAAACTGAAGGTGAAGGGTTGGGAAAAATCATACCACTCATGGACTGCGGAAGCAAGCAGTGGTTTCCATCCTCATGTCTACGTTCATCAAACAAACTCTTCTCAAGTTCAAGAGTCAAATAGACCACAACAAAATAATTTTGGGTGACTTTAACACACACCTTTCATCACTAGATAGATCTTCCAAACAAAAGCTGAACAAAGAAACTATAGAACTCAATAATACAATCAATAACTTAGACTTAACTGACATACATAGAATATTTCATCCTTCAATAAGAGAATACACTTTCTTCTCAGCAGCACATGATCTTTCTCTAAAATAGACTATGCCACAAAGCAACTCTTAGCAAATATAAAAAAGCAGAGATACTACCCTGCATTCCATCAGATCATGATGGAATAAAATTAGAAATCAATGATGATATAGGAAATAAAAGCCACTCCAACACCTGGAGACTAAATAATATGTTACTGAATGAACAACAAGTTGCAGAAGACATCAAGGAGGAGATTAAAAAATTTTAGAGGTGAATGAGAACATAGATACAACATATCGAAATTTCTGGGATTCTATGAAAGCAGTTCTGAGAGAAAAGTTCATTGCATGGAGTTCACTCCTTAAAAGAAGAAAAAGTCAACACATAAATGACTTAACATTACATCTCAAAGCCCTAGAAAAAGAACAAATCAACACGAAAAGCAGTAAAAGACAGGAAATATTTAAAATAAGAACTGAAATCAATGAAATTAAAACAAAAGAAACAATTGAAAAAATTGACAGAACAAAAAGTTAGTTCTTTGAAAAAATAAATAAAATTAACAAACACTTAGCCATGCTAACAAAGAGAAGGAGAGAGAAAACTCAAATTACTAACATAGGTGATAAAAAAAAGAAATATCAACAGACACTACAGAAATACAGAAGATAATTAGAAATTATTTTGAAAACTTGTACTCCAATAAAATAGAAAATATCAAAGGCATCAAAAAAATTCTAGAGTCATATAATTTTAACAAATTGAATCAGGATGATATACACAATTTAAACAGATCAATTTCAAGTGACAAAATAGAAGACGCCATCAAAAGTCTACCAAGCAAGAAAAGCCCAGGACCCGATGGATACACAGCAGAGTTCTACAAGACTTTAAAGAAGAACTAATACTAATACCCTTCAATTCATTTCAGAAAACAGAAAAAGAGGGAGCAGTTCCAAACTCATTCTATGAGGTCAATATCACCCTGATTCCAAAACCAGGCAAAGACACATCAAAAAAAGAAAACTTCAGACCAATATCTCTAATGAACATAGATGCAAAAATTCTCAATAAAATTCTGGCAAATTAAATACAAAAAAATCAAAAAGATCATGCACCATGATTAAGTGGGATTCATCCCAGGGATGCAAGTTTGGTTCAACATATGGAAATCAATAAACGTAATTCACCACATCAACAGACTTAAAGATAAGAATCATATGATCATCACAATAGACGCAGAAAAAGCATTTCACAAAATATAGCACCTTTTATGTTCAAAACAATAGAAAAACTTTGGACAACAGGAACATATCTCAACATTATAAAGGCTATCTATGCTAAGCCCCAGGCCAACATCATTCAAAATGGAGAAAAATCAAAGGCATTCCCTCTAAAAAGTGGAACAAGACTGGGGTGATCTCTTTCACCACTTCTATTTAACATGGCTCTTGAAACAATGGCAGTGCAATTAGAAAGAAAAAAAAAACTTAAAGGGATATGCATAGGAAAAGAAAAACTCAAATTGGCACTTTTTGCTGATGATATGATTCTATACCTAGAAGACCCTAAAAGTTCCACCAGAAAACTCCTATAACTAGTAAATGAATTCAGCAAAATAGCAGGATATAAAATCAATACCCATAAATCAAAGGTATTTCTGTACATTAGTGACAAATCCTGAGAGGGAAATGAGGAAAACTACCCCATTCTCAATAGCCTCAAAAAAAAAAAAAACCCACAAAAATACTTGGGAATCAACTTAATGAAAGAGGTGAAAGATCTATATAATGAAAATTACAGAACCCTAAAGAAAGAAATCAAAGAAGACCTCAGAAGATGGAATTATCTACCTTGCTCTTGGATAGGCAGAATTAATATTATCAAAATGACCATACTACCAAAAGCACAATATCGATTTAATGCAATTCTGATCAAAATCCCAATGACATTCCTTATAGAAATAGAAAAAGCAGTCATAAAATTCATCTGGAAAAATAAGAGACCCAGAAATAGCTAAAGCAATGCTTAGCAGGAAGAGTGAAGCTGGTGGCATCACTATATCAGACCTTAAACTATACTACAGAGCAATAGTAACAAAAACAGCATGGTATTAGCACCAAAACAGATGGGTAAGCCAATGGTACAGAATAAAGGACACAGAGACTAACCCACAAAATTACAATTATCTTATATTAGACAAAGGTGCCAAAAACATGCATTGGAGAAAAGAGAGCCTCTTCAACAAATGGTGCTGAGAAAACTGGAAATCCATACGCGAAGAAATGAAACTAAATCCCTCTCACAATGCACAAACTCAACTCAAAATGAATCAAGGACTTAGGAACAAAACCAGAGACCCTGCGTCTAACAGAAGAAAAAGTAGGCCCTAATCTCCATCATGTGGGATTAGGCCCCAATTTCTTTAAAGACTAGATTAAACTAACAAATTTATTATAAAATAAACCTCAGACCCTGAGATTAAGTCAGCAGTGAATAGGTTTTGACTTCCATATTAGAGAAGCTGAATTGATGTTAAACCGGATGAGGTACTACTTGCTGCCTGAACAGATCTACCTTAAGTAACTGAAATATTAATTTATCCTTAACAAAACTTCACACCTCTTTTCTCTGTGTGCTGGAAGTTGACACAGTTAAGTATTTTGTTCTTTTTTATTTCAATACCCTATATATAAATTTCTAACAAGTACACTATGAACATTTTTGATCACCATCTTAAAAAATAATTCCACACAATTATCTATGGGAAATAGGTAAATTAACAGATTTCCTATTCTACTAGAAGATAAATGTCTGTGAACAA